ACTTCCGAGAATTGGGCTTCGGAACTCGATATTCCTGCATCCATAAATCCCGCGAGATTTACAGCTAACTTTTTCCACTGGAATTCGAGAAGCTGTATCCACCTTTTCATCCAAATCGTATCGACACCTCCGGCGTCTACCCTTAATTTCCTTGACCTAACTTCAATCTAATGTATTGCAGTTATCTCATGGACACTTCGGGCCTTATTCCGCTTTTAGTGGCTAGTTCCTACATAATTTTGTCTGGCAAGAGATCTGCCCATATGCTTAATGGAACTCTTGGACAGAAAGTATCACTACCACAGGATTTATTGTACATCGACTTTCGGCCCAGATAAGAGCGCCTTGACGCAGCTGACTCTGAACAGCGCTGTGAGTTCGTGAGGAGAAGGGAGGGAGAAGCTAATCTATTTTGGATACGAGTTGTAATGTGCATTTAGTGGCAAACATTCTCTTGTGATAACTCGGGATTGATCGCGTGTGAAGTGTTATGTCAAATTCTCCAAAGAGAGACCCATCTCGAATGCAAGCTCTTGTGGACCCAACTACGCAGTGCGTAGTCGTGACTTATTGTCACACCCATCATAGTAAAGAGCGGTGTTTCACTTGGGAATTTGGCGCGCTTGTAGACGATCTAGGGATGATCATCTATTGTAAGTCAGTTTCAGTAGAACCCCAGCTCGGTAACGGTATTACTAGCATTTGCGGAGTAGATGAGGAAAGAATGATTGTCTCTTACCTGAGTTGTGTCGCCCTTGAGGATGAAACGTGTGTTTGTCAGCCGGCAAGCCTAAGCATTGTAAGTTTATACATTGGCTAAGTAGGCTGGTCTAATTTAATGTTAGGAATGGAATTCCCATGCCTGATTGTTTGATGCATCATGGCTTGAAGTAAATTTGAGATACTGTAGCTGTCGCTAGGGCTGGCGTCTTCCTATCTTGTGGCAAGACAGAATAGCGAAGATGTTGTACGTATGCAGATGACCAACGACGCACCATATCCCCAGGCTGATTCCAATGATCAACATGCTTGCCCTGTCTTGAAGTTAAGATATGATGCCTCGATGTAAACAATCATGGACCTCACATATTTACCGTGAGAGCGGCTCATTACTAGAAATCTAGCCACCCTTAAGGCTAGTCGCTTGAACGTTGGTCCTCATGACTTGGTGTTTAGGCTCCTTGCAAGTTGTGCCTGGCATTTTTCATTTATAAATCGAGTCAACTCCTACTAGTCGGTAGCTAGATTGATTTCCGCACAAAAATCCAGCGCGTCTCAAGCAGTATACCGCAAATCCCATCATCGGCCTTGTGCGATGCAACCCCTCCGGAGAATTTACTGATAACTCAGCCTCGATGATAATAAATCGATAAATCTCTCTGCTTGTATTTGAAGCCTAGAGTAGAAACTCGGATAATTGTCTTTTCAAGCTAAAGGCTGCATCGACTCCTTGAATTTTTAAAGTGATTACGTGTGGGGGCTGATGTTTGCAGAGGGCGCCGATCGAGTCCAATCGATGCAGCTTGAGGGAAAAGTGGGCATAATCGAGCGGCAGTTTATCCTTATGGAAGTTAGTACATGTTTGTCGACTAGGATATTGTTCCGATGTAAATATTTCCTTGACTTACCCAGTCAAAGTGGGAAAGGCTTACCTCAAACTCACGTCAAATAGGTTGTCACTCATTATCCTGCACTTTCATTTGGGTTAATCCATACATGCCCGACCCTCTAGCCAAAGTTTAACATCTTATCTGCCGCTCAAATAGTCATGAGGTAACGTATTTTGCGACCCACCTTCATTTCCCGCCAAGTAGGACGTCCATTGTTAGCAAACAGTGCTAGATGTCATCGACAACTCGCCACACCAATTCAGTCAAGACATGGGGAAAAAAGGCGTACATGGCACGAAATAGCTATTCTTATTTTGTCGACCAGGGAAGAATGCCAGCGACGGCTTCTAATAGGGGGATCAGTAACAGCCCCTATCCCAGCTAGCACCAGTAGTCCGGGGAATATAGCGTCAGGCGCCCGAGATTGAAAAAAGAAAGCAACGAAGAAATCATTAGGAAGAAGCAACTTTTCAGTCAAGCCTAGGTGCGGGTCATCAAGGCCGCCACCATCTCAACCACAGCAACCACGAGACTCAAATGGTGTCAAGTGGCTCCCTGGCTTAACTACGTATTTCGTCAAGTGTACTTACGCGACTCGTGCAACGCGTGTAACCTGGACATGCCCAGGCGCCTCGATGAGCAGACATGCGGCCAGCTCGACATGCAAAGCCAATATCCTTCAGCCCTCCATCCCCTCGTGGGCAATTGATCATGATCAGAGTGGAAGGTCGACGGTCGCGGGCCATCGCGCGCGTGCATATTGTTAGTAGTGCTCCCTTGCTGACAGAATCTTAGCCATATGCCCACCCTAGCAAGTTCAACTTGAAAATATGACTTGAGCTGTATTTACCCCTGGTTGTCAGGAACACGCAAACGAATAAGATCACCCATTATTATGTTTGATCGGTCGCCCGGCACATGTGGGAGCTGGGATTCAGTTGAATTTACCGGATGAAAATGTTTTTATTGGGTAGAGGGGCTGGGGTTTCGGGTTCTGGAATGTCCGGATGCTCCTTGGGCCAGACTACGAACGGCGCTGACACACTGGGAGGAAGCGATACAACGCAGAACAAAGGGTCTTTGGCAGAGGGATGATTCCGCCAGGTCAATGTTCAGCCCTTCTTTCCCTCGCACGGAAGCCATACTGTGTTCAAGCCAGACACGACCCCCCATGGCAGCTGCAAGACGCTGCAGCATTGAGGTGCTGCTGAACTGTAGAGCGCAGCATAGACTCATGCAAACACATTTATTCATCCCCAATTCTCTTCCGCCCAGACCGGCCCTCTATCCCAACCCCCCGCAACCCACATGGGCAAGACGTAGTAAGTGTTCACAATTCTAACAGCTGCTGGCGATGGGTTTGAGCCACAGATCATTATATTGGACTCCCAATTCCCCTGCGCACAGCCACAGCTACATTCGCACAGAAAAGGACGCGCAACCTGCAAGTCAATTCACAGACTAAGCTGGGAAAGCTTCCCGCTCACACCTGGTCGGAGCCCGCGTTGTACCCCGGCTAACGTCTAGCCGAGTTCAGCAGTTGGCGGTGACGGATCAAGCCGTAAGGCAGAGCTGATTGGTCTAGACCGGCTGGCAGGACCCTTATGGGGCCGGGAAGGGTCTTGGAACGCCGGGCCTAAGGGCGGGAGCGGAGAATGAACTAGAGTGGCTATGCTATCTGTTTTTCCGGACAATGAATGGATAGAGTGCGGGTGTAGGTCTCGAGGCCTGGAAAGTAGCCTGTGATGCATCCTGGCTGTGGCCTCTCCAAAGCCCTCGTAACCGTTCGCGCTATCGTCCTCACACTGCGTCAGTACAAGGTCTTCTGATTGGCGCTCCTTGCCCAAGCTGCTAAACGAGCCGGATTAGCGATAGCAACTAGGTGTAGCAGTCCGTAGGAGCTAGTTCAGCGGCAACTGTGAGCGGTCGCTGCTCATCGATGAACCTTAGCTGAACTGCTGCTACCACGACTACTACTGCTGCACAACCGTCAACCCTACTAATCTACCCAGTACCCCCCTCCCTCCTCCTCCTCCTTCATCAGCTTCATGCCTGTGGCTTGCGTCATCCATTCGACCGGTATGACTTCGAGGGAGGAGATGGCCATGACGGCTGTGATACAGCCTCTGCCACCCTTATTACTAAAGCTGCTGCTAGGTTTACTCACCGGAGACTCCCTCGCTCCAGCTAGACTACACTTCCTTTCGACGAGTGTCCAGGCCATTCCTAGACGCATGAGATACGACTCCCTGTGCAGTGGCTCGCCCTCACCACTAATACTACCACCACCACCATCACCACCACCACTACTTAGGCTTTGCAAACGGTAATTTGCTGCCCGTTAGTCCGCCTAACCTCCGCTACCGACCTTGCTCTGATCTCATTCTACCTGTCGTCGCTTTGTTGAATCGATCCCGCAAATCCACGTCGATCAACTGCCGCTTCCCGTCACTCTTCTCCCTTGACATCGCCCTGGTCTCGCATCTCCTTCCCTACCCGCGCTCCTGGGATTCTGGGCGAAGGGGGAGAGCAAATCAAAGGAGGATCTGGCTGGCATTCAGTCGTTACCGCAGCCTGGCGGGGTTATCTCGGGAAGTTTGTCGTCGGCTGTCTGTTGTTGCGGTTGCTGTCGTAGCAGGACGCGCCGCCTTACCTCCCATCCCTCGCCCCGACCCTCATCAGCCCTCTCACCAGACGGAGCACGGGACGCTTCATCTCAGCCACTGAACAAGTCGAGCCGCGCATCCAGCCCTCAGCCTACCTCCATACTGGTCAGCGAGGCCGCCAGAACCTCAGCGTGTCTGACGATTTCGACACGACATATGCCGTGTAACATTCTACAAACGCCACCCACTCACAGCCAAAATTGCTCCTAAAGGGCAGATATTCCCTCAACTCAACCCACGGGGCCGTCGGATGGTAAACCCCTCTGACGGAACTGGGGTCACTCATACAACCGCCGGCAACACATTCAAGCTGGTTCGCTTGCCCCCCTCTCCCCCCAACGCCCTAATCTCATCTGCTTGCGTTGCTGAATCCATCGCCTACCTCTAACGTGGCTGTTGGTACTTTGTGTCTTGGTGGTTATGATGCGGATGCGGATGTGAATCAAACGAAAAAAAGATTTATTTATACCAAATTACCTACATACATGCCCCTCTTGCCGTTGATAGGCCGGCATCATTTTTCTGATTTACCCTTTGATCCGATACATCTATCTTCCCTTTCCCTCCCTACCATCAAAATTATCTTCGGCAACTCGTCTCAATACGACAGCTCAACTAATCTATTCGATCGCCAACCAGTCTATTCATCCATCACCTGCTGCCGCTGCACTCCTGTGGGGACTCAACCAACTTCATACCAAACACCCTTGTCGCCGAGCCGATCATGGTCCAGAACGTATCGATGCCTCTCGACGAAACTCGAGAAAATTGCTGGAGTAGGAGCGAAAAGGGCTTCGCGGACATTCCACACGATGCCATCTCCCAGCCCAGCATATCTAACCTCAACAAATTTCAGGTTTGCCCCCGGCCCGTGCGAACCTTCGAGCCACTTATTGACTCCATCAAACAGCCACCCACGCCAATCCAAGCGGCTCTCATGAGCTGTGGACTAGATGTCGCCGATTTTGTCCTTATCTACTCGAGCCCTGACGGGGCCGAGAATCCTGTAGTACTCTCTAGTACAGGCTTGAGGAATTATGCGAACCGAATCATCAATGAGCAGGTCTGTTCAACATACACACGTAGTGTATTGCACTACAGAAATGAGATGGTAGTGCACCCGTTAGGTAAGAATCTTTGACATTTTTCATAGCCATGCGCATCATTGATAGAAAGTTGCTCAGGTACTGCGCAGTTTGACGCTGTCGCTGAGACTAGACACGATGATTTATGGGAGAGCCAAATGCTCTCACCCTCCGAGTATCCCCTGCAGCGATTGAGTGATGCAAAGTCAGAAGAATCAGACGACGGACAGTCGCCTAGATCTCGGAAGCGAGCTCGAGTTCAAATGCGTCGCCAGTACCTCGGATCAGTTGAGAGCTCGGCGACAGCTCCAGCACCCAAGACACAACCGCTAACCATTGGAAATGACGCCGATGTTGAAAGCTTTTATTTCATTCGGTTCAAGGATATGCAACAATCGTCGTGCAAGGTAATGGGAAAGGCTTTTGTTAAGTTGGTGGAGCCAAAGAAACAAACTCACCATCCGTATACTGGTGGGAATGACAAGGCGCCGTCGTGGTGGCCTGCGACGAAGGGTGATAACGCCGTGAGGCACAAGGAGCCGGACCATCTTTTGAAACCAGGTGACTATGGCTCTAAGACGGCTCGTAGCCGCTGAGGGAATTGCGCTAACTCATTGTAGAACGGATTAACTTGTTGGTCCATATTCTCAAGATGATTATCGAGCCTAGCGAGAGGCAAAACCCGACTGTCCGAAAGCTGGGCTTAAATGTTCGGAAGTTGGAGGAGACGACGATGGAGGTCATGTCAAATTGGTTCAATGATAAGGATCATCCCGAAAATCTTCAGAAGAAAAAGTATTTGCGGGAAATTTTCCGTGTTGCAAAGATCCAGGAGCGCCACAAGCGTGGTGAAGTCGGTAAGAGAGAGTCCGCAGACTATGTCCATATAAATGTGTGAGGAAGATGGTTAACTTTTGCTGGACAGATGGCTCGACCACGATCCCAGTCATGTGTGGATCCGAGGGTCGAACGCTTGAAGGCTCCGATGATGAAGGGGACGAGATCGCCTACACGGATGGGGAACCGGAGCCTGAGGAGGCGCTATACACCGCTGTTGCCGGGGTTACCTCGCCGGAAAGAATTGTTTCACCGTCTCTCCTGCATCCTTCACACCAAGCCGAAACAGAGATACGGCTTCCAACGCGGAGCATCCGACCGCACACTCCCCGAGTAGCAGTTTCCGGGCCGGCAACGGCTTATGATGCCCATATCTACCGGCTAGATTCGAACCCATATCCGTCTGCGCCACAGACCATTCCCAATCTTCAAGACGCGTGTCGGAGGACTTATTCTCAGTGGCAATCTCCCATTATTAACGCGTCGACTTCTAATAATATGTACTATGGCCCACCACCGCCGAACACGATGGCATACCTACCACCGTTACAACAACAACAACAACAGCAGCAACCAATGCATTCACCTCAGCATAGCTTTGACGGACTTCATAGTATTCAGCCACTTGCGCCCAGTGGCGTGATGAATAGTCGGGTATTTGAAGGTAGCCAAGCACTGGCGGGACAGCAATGTCTCCGACCCAGCAGCCATCCACCATCCATGCCATACACAGCTCCATCTTCGTATACTTTTGATCCGGTCAGCGGTACATACGGATCGTCGGAGCATATCGTCAAGCAGGAGCAACACCAGCATCGATAATAAATATGAGCAAGTGAATCATGTAAAGTATGAGGTTAGGATAGTTTGGCCGACATGATCGTGATCTTGCGAAGGGGCCCCGATCTACTGGAGTAGGTTGGTTACGACAATAAGCTTTCATCTGAAGCCTATACGTGTTTCTAGATGTAGTGATTTCCATGTAGATGAAGGCAGTCAGAGACTCCCGTCTCCACGGAGCGGGGGAGACACAGGCCGAGCTTCTTGATGTTGTGCCTCGTACTTTTTGTCATTTGGCGGACGGGTGGTTCAAGTCAGCGTTTGTTTTGCGGGCGATTGGAGTTTGAAATATGCAGAGGCGGAGGGGATCTGTGGGTGAGGCCCTAGTTTATAGATGGAGGGTTAGAGGAGATACCAAGTGGCACTTATTTAAAAAAAATTATACGCACACAGCTCTAATTTCGCAAAATTATATCACATGCGCGGTCCAGATGTATTGATGTGGACGGGACAGAGATTGCGAGTGACCCGTGTCTGGATGTTGGAGAAGCAATGATGGCGAAGGCCAGTTGGCGTGTTGACGTGGCGGGCGAGAGGACAAGGGACGACGAGGCTACGGTGTTAAGGTGGCCAGGTCGGGTGACTTGGGGGAAGGAGCGTGGATGGCGGCGCCTACGTAAACGGTTAGCGATCTCCCGATCTTGTAGAAACTTGGGAGCGGCACGGCATGCGGCGCGGATGCGGGTGCCGGTGGATAGCCGCTTAGACGCCGACAGGGACGAAGAAAGCGACGGCTTAGCGATGGAGGGTCGGAGCGGATCGAAAAAATTGGCAGATTGAATTTCGGTGGTCATGATAGAGTTGCGGGCGACGTGACGGGCCCCGAGCGCTGGAAGACTAAATGCGGCGAGGACAGTTACCCTTTCAGCGCGTCGGCCGTCGCGCGAGTCGTGGCAGCCGGCGGGGCCCGGGCGTCGGGAAGAAGGTTGAAGATGTGTCACTGTGACTCGACTGGGGCTGCGCTGGCTCGTGGCCAACTCTAGTTGACTTAGGGGTGCGGTTTGATCGACGGCGGCGGCTGGCTGAAACCCGATGTTCTAGCAAGAGGGGATTTGGGGCCTGCGAGGTAGGCACACTCTATACAGCCGGGTTGAGGCCAACGGCGGCGGAGACGACGAGTCATGGCGAAGGACAGCAGCGATGCAGGAAGGGTCGAGAGGCCGACGGGAATAGGGGCGCACCATTCGAGAGCATCGGATGGCGCGCAGTGCTGCCAGTCATGACGGACCAGCTCGTCTTTGCCGCCGTTTCACGGAGACGGACAAGCTGGCCGTCGTCCATGAGGTCATGGACAGCGAATGCCATCGTCGACCCTCCGACGAATCGCCATTCCTCGCCATCATGGCGCGCCCGGGAAAGACATTTGTTGCGCATCCTCTGATCTCGATCGCCCGATCTTATGGCCGTCCTCAGACACAGCTCCTATACCATCGGGCCCCTTGACCGCGTCACATGCGGCGACGAAGAGGACACGAAGGGCAATTGGGTCAGCGTAGGTGGCAGCAGCAGCATTGCTCACGACAAGAATTGGTCAAGGCCGGCGTCGGCGCCGTATTGGAGATTCGCGGCGGCTGATGGCGACAAAATGCACCAAAGGGCCTCTGACGGCGAGTCATTCATCGGGGGCAGTGGACCCTTTCATCGGGCCCGTCTTCCCCTGCCAGCGGACGCTTTGACGGGCCCTTTTCTCGATGCCATCAAGAGCAGAGGGGGGAAGACCGACGCCGCCCTTCTGAAGCGCCGATAACCACGGCGTGAGCTGAGTGAGTCAGGCCTCACAATGGAGCAGATCGGGCCAGGAATCGAGGTAGAGGACGAGGATGTAGGCTTCAGAGCTGCTGCTCTCGCTCTAGCTGTCCGTCTGCTTCTAGCCCCGCACCTCCTCGAGTTTGAGCGGCGTTTGAGGTCCGGATGACGGGCAACGCGCGCCCATGGAAATCTGCCTGGCTCACTATGGCATTGTACTCCAGGTCGCTGGACGCCGGCTCGTTTCAGGAGGTTGCGGCGGCGGCTCGGCCTGCATGCACGGCGGGAATAAGCCCCGCCGCCATGCAGCTGGCTCACGACGGGCCCTGCAGGCGCTTCGCCGACCACTTGGCTGCTTTTGTCACCTCGTCGGCACCGGCGCGACGTGTGTGATGAGTCTCTGCCGGCCGCAGTCTGCAGTGTGCTCGATCTCGGCACGTCACGTGTTTCCGTCGTGGTCACCCTGATCGGCGCCGACTAAGCGCTCGAGAGGCGCCGGCTATAGGTGCCGCGGCTATGGCGGCTCGGTGGGGGAAAGACGAGCTGCGCCTGCGCCTGGCGTGGCGGGGAAACTGGCGAGCCCGCCGTATCGTCGCCGCGCTCTGCGACTCGCGTCGCGCGCGTGTTGGCCACATCGCGTCATGTCGAGCATGACGCTGTAAATCCTCCTCCTCGGCGCCTCGAGCCGATCGCTCGTCGAGAACTGATCCTCTGTCCATCGCGGCACGTCGTCGTCGTCGTCGTCCTCCTCGCGCGCCTCTCCTCACCAGCAACCCTTATTCCCGAACCCGACGCCCCGAGCGCTGCAAAAGTCCCTGAACTCCCTCGCCCGTCGTCGCCCCCTGCCCGCACCGCCCGACCGGGCCCCCCAACAGCGGACCCAGCGCCTGTCCGTCTGGCCAGCGCACGCGCCCCCCCCTGCTGGCCGGCGTCCAGCTCCCCTTTTCTGAGCTGCTTGGGCTTTTTTCCGTCGTCGCCTCTCTGACCTTTTGCCTGACTTGCTCCCCCCCCATCAAACATCAAAGCCCTGGCGTCCTCGGCCTTCTCATAAAGCGCTTGCCTCCCCAAACCGCCGCCACTTGCCATTCGCCATTCCCAGTTCAAATCCCCTAATTCTCTTCTGCCGCTGGCTGTCCCTGTCACACCGCCTGCCTGCCCGTCCGCCTTTCCTGTCTCTGCTTGCTCCACGCTGTCGTGTTCCCTTACTGGCCACCGCAACCTCCACCATTCATCATCGCCACCTCCACTATCCATCTCGCCACCTCTCATCTTCATCTTCACCATCCCCACAATCATCCTCAACATCAACACCTCCTCGTCGGCTTGCCGCGGCCACGGCGATGATTAATATTCTCATCAATTTCCATTCCTCGACTATCTCCTAACTCGTGGCGTTCCCGCTCCCTCTCCCGGCCCCTCTGTGGCAATTATTCGTCAGCTCCGTCTCATCAAACCTCAACTCCAACTCCATCTCGCTCGTCGCCTCGAACTCGCGCATCTCACCACTCCGGGAATCCTTGAAGCAGGCTCTTCACTTACCCCCTCGGCAATCCTCTTCATCGTTCCCGCCCTTCTCCCCGGACCCAAGAGTCCGTCGCCTAAAACTCCCTTTCCCGTCGGTCCATCCCATCTGAGCAGTTCCATCTCGCCTGTCCGCGACTAATGGCGCATCTGATGTATCCTCAACACCACACGCCCATGGCTGCGCCTCCTCAAAAACCTGAGACCTTTATGCTGAGCAGCGAAGCTCAACAATCACTGCCCCAGGACGCCCAGGTCGCCCTGCAGCAGGTGGACAATCGTACGTCCCCCTCCCTCCTCCCACTTTCCTACTGACAGCGCTCTTAGTAAAATACTTTTTAATCTCTGCTCCCGTCGATTGGACTCCCGACCAGTACATTCGTCGCTTCCTCTTGCCCACCGGCGAGTACGTGTCTTGTGTACTCTGGTATGCATGACATCCATTTATCCTCTAACGTAGCATCTACTAACACGTCATGCCCCAGGAATAATCTATTTCATATATCCGGCACCGACATTGTCCGCTGTCTGTCTTTTCGCTTTCAAGCCTTTGGCCGGCCCGTTAAGAACTCCAAGAAATTCGAAGAAGGCATCTTTTCCGACCTGCGCAACCTCAAATCCGGCACCGATGCCTCTCTTGAGGAACCCAAGAGCGGTTTCCTCGACTTCCTCTACAAAAACAACTGTATACGCACCCAAAAGAAGCAAAAGGTCTTCTACTGGTACAGCGTGCCTCATGATCGTCTCTTCCTTGATGCTCTCGAGCGTGATCTCAAGCGCGAGAAAATGGGCCAAGAGGCTACGACCGTAGCCGTCAATGAGCCGGCCCTCTCCTTTGAGTTTGACTCGTCCCAGTCCCTCTTTGAACAATTGACCAAGGCACAGCAAGCCAATTCCTCGTCCTTCTCGGCCCAACAGCCAACCTACCCTCCACCGCAGAGCAAGTCGCCGGGTATGCGCGCCATGGATGCCATGCCACCGCCGCCCATCATGCCCATGTCTCTCAACGACGACCTCAACTCCATGTCGCCCTACCATACCATGGTCATGCCTAATATGGCCCAGCAAGTCGTCAAGCGAGAGTCCGAGTTTGCTCGTAACCAGTACGGTCAGAACGGTCTTCCCATCCCACAATCACAGCAGCGTCATACATCCATTCCTCCCTATGCCATGGAGTACTCTCCCACTCCCTCCTTCGTCTCCTCCCACTACGAGGACTACGGTAACCGTGCCATCTCCTTCGAGCCCATAACGCCGCCCCAGCAAGCCCTCGGCATGGGCTCAGAGCCGGCCTACATTGCTCACGAGGAGACGGGCCTCTATTCTGCCATCCCTGACCATATGGCCAATAGCATGAGCAACTTAATGCAGATTCCTCCCTCCCACCTTTCTGGATCTCAATACTCACATCCATCGAGAGGCTTTGCCAGCAATAACGCCTACTCGGTCATCGAGGGTTCGCCAACCTATAAGCAACGCCGTCGTCGTTCTTCCATACCTCCTGGTGCTGCCAATCTTGCCGCCGTCACAGCTCAGGCCCGCACGAATCACCGGCCCTCGGACCTCCGACGCTCCATATCCACCTCGGTCGGCCCGACCGTCGATGGTGACGATTCCGAGAACAACTCCCCTCCTGGCCTCGCCTATAGTCGTGGAATGTCTGTCGGCATGCCTCAGCACAAAAACTTGATGGATATGTCGCGTCACGGCACGCCCATGTCGAGCATTGAGAATAGTCCCGCCATCAATCCCATGGCCCTCCAACACAACGATTACACTTCTATGTCGACCGAGGATATGAATGGCGATGGTACCTCTTCTTTGCATGCCTCGCCCCGCTCGCACCTCCAAGGCTCTGCGGCCGCCATTCGCCGTGCCCGCAGTGCCACCATGGACCTCGGCCCCTATCCACACAAATCCCACTCCTGCCCTATCCCCACCTGCGGCCGTCTCTTCAAGCGTCTCGAACACCTCAAAAGGTATGGTCTTTCCCCTTGTTGCCCTGTACTGCCCGTATGCGGCCAGCCCCTCTATTCCAGCTCTCTATCCTGTAACCCCACGGCTTGTCATGAAAGGCCGCTGACATGTGCCCCTTCAGACACGTTAGAACTCACACCCAAGAAAGACCCTATGTCTGCCCTCATTGTAACAAGGCTTTCTCCCGTTCCGACAACTTAGCACAGTATGTAGATGAATGGCGTGCTCGTGCCATGATCTCACCTTGTCCATCTAGCTAATATTTCTCTGCAGGCATAGACGTACACACGATCGTGCCGACGGTTCCGACGGCCCCTTTGGTCACTACAGTGGCGAAGAAGAAGATTACGAGGCCGACGAGCATCTCGCTTCACTTGAAGAGACGTCACCCATGTCGGAAAATGGTTATCTTCCGTCCAATCTCAGTCAGTCTTGCATGGGTCTTAGTAGCTTGGGCATGAGCATGTCCACATCGGGTCTCGCCAACCCAAGTGAACTTATGAACGGACACCAGCTGCTCCAACAGCCCATATGAGTCGAAGCTTGCTTCTCTCGCCTTCTTTTAGTCTTTCGTTGACCTTTTTTTATTTTTATTTTCTCTCCTTTCTCAAACTTATCTCTCCTACTTTACCTTTTAAACCCTGCCAAAGCCGCGCGAACCTATCACCGCGCTTAAGGCTTGGCTGATGATAGATCTTTGTCAAAATAACTGGTGTGCATGTCGTGTGTTTGTGTCGACTTTGTAATCATGAGTATGAGTTGAAATGTATGGAAAATAGATGCTAATCCCGGCCGGCGGAGTGTGGGACATTTCTTGAATTATCTGGCTGGTATGCTGCGGACGGGGCTGGTGTACTGGGACGGGGGAATGAAGCGCGCGTGTACTAAGAGACGATGAATGGTGAAAACCACTAATGGCATGATGGCCGGACGTGCACGGGTAGTCATAATAACCATAAGAGTCACGAAATAATATAACATTCCACTTTGCTGTCTAGATTCGTGACCCTGCTATGCACCTCGTCTGCATTGATGGACCACAGTCCTACTACGTCCTTGAAGCTTTCGTACAACGATCAAGATTCAACCGGCCGTCTCGTCATGGCTCCTGATGAGCGTCGTCTGCTCATCTGACCTGCTTTGTGATGGGGGAAAGATGGGCGTAATTGTGCGCAACGATGACGATTGTCAGCATCGTTCCATCACAGCAACTGAGGCCGACTCGGCGCTCACGTACGAGGGATAATTACCTGATGCCAACCCAACTACTTCAAAATGCCACTTACGAACGAAATACAAAAGGTGAGGGCCTAAAGTCGAGAGTCTTCAAAAACACTCACAGTATGCTGGTCATGTGCCATAGATGTACAGCTAATTTCGCATCAAGGGATCTAAAAGCCTCCATTGCATCTAGCTTCCGACCGCAAGCTGCGCGTGGGAGGGCGTCATGATTCATCGGGACGTTTGACCGACCAGAATTACATGCTTCCCCGCCCTCCTGACCCTGTAGTCACAGACTCACACACTTTTCAGACTTCAGCAGCAAATGTTAGGCCGACGTCGCGTGCATCATTGAGCCCACCCGGCGCACCACTGCACCATCCGACCATTCGAGCCGGTGGCCATGGCCGTCTGTAATACCCGCCCACAGCTACGCAGCGATGCTTGCAGTCGAAGATATCTGCAGGACCTAGTTACTCTCATCTTGACGCATCACTCACCCATCTCATGATAACTCGTCTCTCCGGCAGTATCTGGTCAGCACCTACGGCGAAGAGGCTAGGAATATTGCAGGCGCAGTCAACCTTTGAAAGGAAGAGTGCAGTCCGGATTGCCTCTTGTGGGCACAAAATCGCTCTCTCAGGACGATTGAGAGTCAAGGTGCAGTGCCGATGTTGCGAGTAATGCGATATATATCTGATTTAGTAGTTGATAGAACTGGACGTTAAAGTATTCCAGCTCTAGAGGCATGCTCGTGACGGAGAAAACTGACGCTATGCCTTGGCCATATCTATGTGTTGAGATATCACTCCCTTATACTCGTGTCCCTTGCGCTAACCTTCATACTATATAACTACATCACTCTTCCTACAGCTCTGGTCGCGACTCGTTGGTTCCTCTGCGACGCCCGTCACCAGCATATCACTCCAACTTTGGCCCTCAGCCGTGATGGTTTACTTTCAATCCTCAATGAATCCTGGTAGCGACTCTTTGATTCGACTACGTCGCCCAGCGCATGTGTATTTGCCTTATGGTTGTCAGTGCGCTTCGACGGACTATCCCGACGAGGGGAAGCACGAGCGTCCAGTGTCTGCCACGAATCAAATCTTTCGAAATTGGCTCATGATGCTCACAACAAAGGCCGTCAAGTGACTCTGGAGTAGAGTCACGCAGGTCGCGCTCCCCCGCCGTACCTCCACATCCTACCCTCAACCCAGCCCTGTTCGGGGAATGCGGAATATCGAGTCCTACCTCTCGCCTCGACCCCTCCGAGCGCTGCTGCGGGCGAGTAGCAGGGGCGACAGAGGTCGACTCCCGCTCGGAGGAGACCAAGATCAAAGGTACCGAATTTCATTACGAACCAAAATCCAAGTAGGTTGATCAGGGTCTGAAATGTTAAGGGCCCGAATGTAACGGAATAACTCACTTGAACTGTCGGCCAAACCCAAATACCATGACTGACCAGATCTACGTTCCATTGACACTAGCTCTAACCGTATTAGGCAAATGGCCCGAGCGCAAACGCTTCTAGATTACCTCTAGCAAATTCATAACTGTCAGCCGGTCCAGACTTGGCTCTGGCTGCATCACTGAGGGTCTTCAAAGGTCAGCTGTCCATGAGGAGTGACTAGCCCTGCCCACGCATCTCGGACCGAGGGCCTTGGAATATTACCCGGAGCAGCTCACCCTCATGGCCCCGAGACGTATATCGAGACGACGCGTGGTTCAAGGCCAAGGCTAGGTCACCTGTTAGAGGATTTTGAGTCTAAGAAGGGAGTTCGCAGAGTTATCTTCGGGCCCATACCGTCGCAAGCTCTCGGAAACAAGTGATGCGAGGTGAGGAATGCATGCTAGCAGCCAAAGAACGGCCTCGTGGTTGTCTGGGCATTCAAATACATTGTGTGTGTGCAGGGCGGCAGTGAGTCCTACTGTCGACGAAGTAAAACCCTTCGCACCCTTGCTACTTGACATCAACATTCCATTGTGCATTACCGCACCATCTTGCTTGTATTCTGTATACCACATCCTAGCTTACGTCAAGCACCACCCCTGTTCAGTAACTACCCTTACGGCACGTGACATTATATGAATATGTTTTTGACTCCGGGACGAAGTTTACGCCGCCTCATGCGCTTTCGCCCTCGGGAAGGGGTCAAGCGTGGAAAAGTTTACGACGAGGTCTAACGCATGCACCAAAAGCTTGTCTCTAAAAGCACCATTATTGTGCGGTATTAACGTTCGAGGGACCTGGGTATTCTCTCAATGGCAAAGATGTTGTCAACCGTGCGGGTGATTTCGATTACGTAAGAGCCGGACATGGAGTTCCTGTTGTGGTTGAGAGTTGTGAGGTATATAGCAATTATATAACTCTACTGTCCTTCGGTAGAGTGGCACGGGCTCATGTGCAATAGTGAGTCGCGGAGATGGCGCGCTTCCGCTGGGTTGATGGCACAATGGATGCTGCGTACGTATCACTGTGGCCAATGGGTGTCAGAAAATATCAAGTGTGAACTCTTACTGTCAGTGGTGATCTATAAAGGAGATACTCGATGCGCATTCCAACCAATGATAATATATCTAATGGATGAGGTGAGGTGTGATATTCTTAAGACAGAGACTTCAGTAAACTCGGCAGATGAAGAGATTGTATTGTACATGGACAGTGTCTGTGCACCAGCCTGTATTTTCCGCCTTTTCCTAATAGAGCAGCCCATCTTCCTTTCTCCTGTCCCCAATCAATCCAATCGAATCAGCACAACAGTTCTCCATCGAGGGAAACTTGCCACGCCGGGGGACTATTCTCAACACCTGTCAGCGGTATCCCCTACGAACCTCCGGATCTCACTGTAGAATCTGTAGAGCCGAGATTGAGTAACAAAGTCCTCACTTCGAAGAGGATTCCCAATCGCTTTTGCGGTCTGTATCGTCTTCATCTCTCAACACATTCCCCTATCACCATTATCATGAAGCTAACCACGATCAGATCAGATGGTAGGGTCGGAGCTCTACTCATCGCCAAACCTTGATCACGGAGGAAGAGCCATCCGATGAGTTCCCGGAGCGTACCCAGCACCCGATACGGAGATGGTGGATTGGATCAAGTCGGCCTCGGCTGTTACAAAGAAGGGAGATATAGATGAATATGCGCACCTCATGTGGTCCCGGTGTCTAGGCCTCGCCTGGCTGGGGCTGCAGGTTTTGTGAGACTTTTTCCCGCGCATGCAGTTTCCATTGCTACCATTTTTATTTTTTTTGGGTAGAAGGTTCCGTGGAAAAGGTGGCTGAATTCCACGGGTAAATACTGAGCTGAATGGCTATTCATCAAGGGGAATATATCAATGATCTTTCAAGTAACAAAAGAGGATAGGAGCACTGTACAAGGTGTGGCCTGGGTCAGAGAGGAGCCCAATGTGCTAGATAGTCATAGACTCAAGTAGCACAATAAACACAAACACACTTGCCACGCCTACACTGGCCATTCGAGTGGTAGACGGTCGTCGAAGTGCAGGGTAAATGACGGCCATCCCAGTCCCTTGGCGCTTGAACTCGACTGCCAATCAGGACTTGACCCTCGTCCCGCTTGATTGACCGCCTCACCTCGGACTTCACCCATGCGTCGGGTCAGGATAAGTCTGAACGGCAATACAAAGCGCCTCTCCAGCCCCGCGAAGTGCAATTCCCCAGCCTCGCCCAAGCGCGCGCCTACGCAATGGCGCACCGATGTGGATCCGGAAAAGACTTACAGGGTTATGGGAAGTCGCACAATAACATTACATAATCATAATGATAGATCACTTCAGCATTGAGGGGTAAGGAGGGATTTTTTTTATTTATCTTTATTTAACGTCTGGCGGATCACGCGTCAAGCGAGTAACCCTATTAAGTCCCTACTGAGACAAAAGACGCTGTGAGGAGGGATTGATGTATATAGGCGGGTGTAAGATTGGGGTGATATCACGTGGTGTCCCGTGGCTCCTAACTACAACGGATTTTGTGTAGAGCTTGAGAATCACATCAATAAGATACGGAACGTCTGTCTACTTATTATGGATATGAGCTAGAGGATGATATTTTAGGATTCACGTGAGAGCGGATGTTGAGCCGTTGATGAGGTCTGGAAGTGACGAGAGAGCTGTTTGTAGTTTATTATATTTATCTTCTCCAACTGTATCCACACCGTCACAATTTATCCATTGTTGAATATTTATACCAGAAATAAAGCTCCGCCTAGTCAGCATACGCTAACATTAACCCAGTTTCTTTCCCAACTAAATCTTCATTCTGCCAAGACGATTACAACACAACACTATTACA